AATGAAGATATTTTGCACGAAATCCAGAAAAATCAACATAGAATTGCATTGATTTGGTTACCAGGAGTACAATACGTTACAGGACAATTATTCAATATGAAATTAATTACTGAATGGGGTCATCAATACTGTAAATGTCCAGTAGGATGGGATTTAGCACATGCTGTTGGTAATATTCCTTTATTTCTGCATGATTGGGATGTTGATATGGCTGTATGGTGTTCATATAAATATTTAAATGGTAGTCCCGGTGCTATGGGAGGATTGTTTATTCATGAAAAACATCATCATCAAGAATCAAGTTATGGACCGAAATTTAATGAGTCCAACTATGTCAATAGTAGTGATAATACAATAATTACTGATATATCTGGTCCCCAACTAACCGGTTGGTGGAGCCATAGAACTGAAACGCGATTCGATATGACTGGACATATGGAATTAGCGAAAGGTGCTGATGCCTATCGATTGTCTAATCCACCATTATTATTAGCTGCAGCTTTGACGGTCAGTATCGGTATTATCAAATCATGTGGCGGTATGAATAATTTAAGAGAGAAATCAATCAAACTAACTAATTACCTTGAATATCTAATTACAGAGAGTCCATTAGCTCTAACTAGTGATCAATATAGTATAGTTACACCATCGAGTTCAGAGGAACGTGGAGCACAGTTAACATTGAGTTTTAATCATGTAAACGTTAAAAAACTATATGAAAATTTATTGAGATTAGGTGCAATATGTGATTATAGACTGCCGAATTTTCTGCGTATTACACCGATACCATTGTATAATAGTTTTGAAGATGTTTATATGTTTGTAAAATGTCTTCGTCAAGCGTTGTATGACACTGAATCAGTTTAATTTATGTATATATGTGTTATAAAAATACAAAGGAATCAAATAAAACCTTCATATTCTTTTTGTTTTCTGTAAGAATTTACTACCTGTCTCTATGACAGTTTAGTTGATTCGTAAAATCAGTTAAATTGGTATCCCACTACTTCCCAGTGCCACATTAGCCCAGCTCATATCTGTATAGTGAACTTTAAGCCACAACGCTTCTGTGAGTACTAGCAATGATACCCGGCCACCCAAACCGAAATAGATCACGCGAGAGTCATACTCAGATCGAATTTGAATAATGATTGGATTTAACTGAGGGATTTGTTTCTCTTCCACATCTTTACTCGATGGTAAATCCTTAGTGTTGGTGGTAAGTAAATTATGTAATACAAAAGTTTTAGCCAAGTTTCGATAACTCACTTCTTCACAAAGTTTGTGTTAATTATGTTGCTCTCTTCTCTGTTACACCTCATTGAAGAAATGTGTTAAACAGTGAGAGTTTAAGGCGTTGGGTAGCACTAAATAAAAAGTGAATGTTGGCTTGGAACTTTTCATTAAAGGAAATTCACAATTGTTTACGAACTCAGATATTTCAAGTTTTGAGGTATGTTCTATTTACTTGAAGTTCTCAGTTGGCATTTAATGTTTCATATCGCTGAAGTCATTTGTCGCAATTTATTGTGTTAAGGTGGTCCGATTCTATCAACTACCTATTTGTCTTATTTGTGAGCTGATCTACATCTATTCTCTACAAACTTTCTTTTGATAAGTTTAAGTTGTGATCACTAGTAATTAAACGTAAGCTGGATTTCCCGAGTTGTTACTGAAAAGCTATGATTAGTCAAGTTAAGACACCATAAGTGATATATTTGTTATAGATAGTGTTTAGTTATGATTATGATACATCATAAGGTTTAAAAAATTGCAGAACTGAAAACCCCACACTGTTATTGAGATAGAAAAGTAAACTAAAGAAACTATGCTATGCAGTTTAGTTGTAGGCTATATCAATTCTTTACGGTAGCCAATGAGACAGTTTAATCAGATTTATTAATGAAAAAGAATGCATTACGTGGGTCTGATTGTTTTAGAGTAAGAAGAAAAGCAATAAATGAATCACAGAGACAAATTAGAATCAAATTTAGGATTAATTAATATTCAAAGCTAAATGACTTTAAATGATACATTTATGTTTAAGGTGTTAAAAATACGATACTTATGCGTTTTCCCTGATGTTGATGTAATATTGTACCTTTCAGAAGAGAAGGGATTTTACAAAATGGTACTATGGCTTTATAGTCTGTGCTGTAAGTAACGGTGATGATAATGAAATTTTAAGGACACCTGTCGATTGTATGGTTGTTAGTTTTGTGGTATACTGGTGTAGTAATTATGTGAGTAAACTTTATTTCTCTATGTAAATCATTTGGTGTAACAGTATTAATGAAAAATACAGCATATTTGTGACTAAAAGAGGCTAAATGAAGAGTAGTGAACATCTCAGGCTGTTAGCTGGCGAGTTAGGAGTAATCTTCACTTAAGATTTTGATTAATTTCGGTATATGATTGGAATAAATCTCCTACTGGTTAGCTGAACTTTTTATTAGATCTACCAGCCTATAAAAAGTACATGAGGTGTCTTGCTTTTGTTAAATATTAGTTCTTCACAGTCATACGCTATGCTTGTGCCCGTGTTATTCTTATGACTGAATGAGAAATGGTATTAAGAGGGGGATTGGATTAGCTGTAAATAAGTATTACCTAATGCTACTAAGTCGTGATTATATCAATTGGAAATCCTATCATACTAAAACTAGGTATTAAACATCACAATCTATATATCACACCTTTTAGGGAAACGATTTATTTGCAGATGTCTCTGATACGCTCGTCTACATATGCTTGAAATCACTAATTATATCATTCAGTAGTAGATGTTTTGACCAAAATTCGTCTACGAATGTATTGTAGCAGTGGTAAAATTGGAATGACTTAAATGAATACTTTTACATGCAGTTTAATGTCTATTCTTTACTTACACCGTCTTTTTTGCTTAGTGTATATATATGCGCACAAATGTCCTATGAAATGTTAATCGACTTATCTATGTCAAAATTACTTTTGATAGTTTACAACTACACTTTAGGTTCAATTCGTTTGAGGCTTCCATTAAGTTTTATTGAGTTTATGTTTTGGTTATTGAATTGTCTTTCACTTTGCCACATTTACTTCCAGTTTAATATTCTACAAAACTGTTACACTTTTGTTTTTATTGTTTGGTTCAACACTGATTGATGAGATTTATAAATCAAAAAAGAGAAATTTAAGTAAAATAATCCTGAGAGACGTACGTCACATGAAATTGTAACGGAGTATACATGCAACGTGGACGGAACAGTTTAGAAATATTTTTCCTAATATTAAAGAGTAAAACAAATGTTTACGCAATAAATTAGAGCGGAAGTTTAGAACACTGGAGTTATTAATTCACAGATTCTAAACAAAACAATTTATTATAGGTATAGTTGGATGGTGGCTAACAATGGAATTCAAGATGCACGTCTCATCCTGTTTGGGAGTTTTCATCTAGATGTACCTATATCGAGTTGGAGTTCATTTTGGAACTCGAACACAGTACCGTTCGCTTCGAACGCCATCGCGTTATCCACTTAGCCACCGGCTTGTATTAGCCTCTTGAATCTTCCCATTGATGCTGAGGTCTGCAATCGATCATTCTTTTCTTGGTATATATTCTATTTTGACCAAACTTACATGATTATAATATACGTTTATCCTACAGAGTTATCAAGAATCATAAAAAATGAGCTAAGCCTTAGTGAGAAAAAAATGAACTGGGATAAAGGTTTTATAATTTATAAAGGTGACTTTTGTGTACATTTTTTGTATGCGATCTAAGTTATGAGGATAATAATTGGTTTACAAAATATTAGATGTTAAAAAATGAAATCATGAGTCAGTTGAAGCTAGACCACCATTGAAAACCTGGAAGCACTGGACGGCCGTTTCGTCCTGGTATGGGACTCCTCAGCAGTGCGCATCCACGATCCCGCACCACGCGGGGCTCGAACCCAGGACCTACTGGCTTCGCGCGCGAGCACTTAACCACTAGACCACTGAGCCGGCATCCAACGGTGTTAATGTCTAACTTCAACCAATCCACGAAGTTGCGGGTTCGTGGATTCGCACTGCTGAGGAGTCCCATACCAGGACGAAACGGCCGTCCAGTGCTTCCGGGTTTTCAATGGTGGTCTAGCTTCAACTGACTCATGATTTCAATCTGTGAAAATTTCTAAAACTCGCCACAAAACGCATTCTGATAATAATCAACTGCTCATTAGTGACTGACTTCAAGAAAAACTCCTGGAGTTCTAGTGAGAAGCCGTTACCAGTGGAGTTCAACCGGTCTGTTGTGAGATAACAACTCACTGAAGACAATGGTGTACGGTAGCGCAACTTCGTGGATTGGTTGAAGTTAGACATTAACACCGTTGGATGCCGGCTCAGTGGTCTAGTGGTTAAGTGCTCGCGCGCGAAGCCAGTAGGTCCTGGGTTCGAGCCCCGCGTGGTGCGGGATCGTGGATGCGCACTGCTGAGGAGTCCCATACCAGGACGAAACGGCCGTCCAGTGCTTCCAGGTTTTCAATGGTGGTCTAGCTTCAACTGACTCATGATTTCAACCTGTGAAAATTTCTAAAACTCTCCACAAAACCCATTCTGTTAAAAAATGATTTAAAAGGAAATGATAATGGTTTGTCTTTGAGACTGACTAAACTGGGCGTTTATAAATAATAGTCTTGACGAACTGATATAAACTAGAAATTAATATTAAAACATTAGTAAGCATTAACCTAGTAGTTCCATTTCAGAATAAAATCGACTCCTTAAAATTGTTGATTTATTTTCACGCATGAGAACTGAACAAACACATTCATATTCAGTTGTTAGATAAAAATTTTCAACCAATAACTACCTATAAATATATCTAATATAACTTTACAATTGGTTAATATAAACAACGCTAAATTTCAAAATGTCAACATTGACAGAAACAAACAAGTAAAGAGTTTAAAAAAAACGGACGAAAGTTTTCAAATGATAAAAACAAACGATTATCAACATGTATAACTTACAGCAATATTTGACGATTCGATTTGCTTCAAAAGTGACGATGAATTTAAATCCGACGATTGAAAAGGTGTTTGCTGAGAATTCATATCCATAGAAGTTGACTTTTGAATTGAATTTTCATCTGGAACTTTATAAAATATTCTCAAAACAAAATTTTTTGGTCGAAAAATAGCTGGTTCCAATCCTATAATAATAATAATATTAATAATAATAATTTATACAAATTTCGATGTAATAAATCAATACAGATACCACATTACCTAATCTAAAATGACAGTGACAATTGTATAATGTGTGTATTTATCAATCCACTTGCTCCTATAGAACTGGGTATATTTGCATTTTAATCTGGATTCTATCTAAGATAATTCAAAAACATCCGGCTTAGGTGAAAATAAGCGGAAACGAATAGATAAAAGGCTCCACAATCGAACATCTTGTGAACAACCACCGACTTCAAAGCTATTTACAAAGTAAAAGAACAATGAACCTCCATCTTCTTAACACTGATGAAGCATTTGGTATACATCTGGGAAAAATAGGACTATGTATAAAAAGGAAACTTGTCCAACCTCTTCTTTTACTATGATCTTAATCTTCCACTTTTGTTCCACAGCTATCACTTTCCCTCCTATCTTCAACAACCATTTACTCCCAACCGACTTATTTTTGTTTTCATGCTCTTTCTAAATATGGGTCACATCAACTTCAATATTTTATCATAACACACCACATAATCTTTTTTTTGATAGTTAATGATCGTTATTGATCTTCCTGATGAATACTCAATATCATAAGAATGATATTTTTATATTTATTATCCTACTTCTCTGTTTAACAAATCCATTATTATAATCGCTATTATTGTTATTACTATCGTCGTCATCATTAAGAAACGCACGGCGGTTTTTGTATTTTTTAAATTTTCTGTTCACCCCATTAAAATTTTTTTCATCCGATTATGCCATTATGCGGTGCGACATTCTCATTTCCATAGAGATCAGCAGCCTTATATTAAATTTGTATGTTGTAGAAATGGCCGAAGAACACCTAGCGGATCCTCACAGTCAGTTAGACGAAAGAGGTAATTTCATTAGTGTTATTATATTGTTCTTGTGGGACTTCAATGAACACTCAATGTCCGACTTTCATATTTTGTAAGTTTATTGAAGGTTACTGGACTGTCGTTCGTGGGAATGTTCATCACAATCATGAGTGCAATTCCCTGAAGTACGACAATAATTCTTGAATGCGACGGTTCTGATTTCGTGATTTCGGAGATAGCAGCATTCAATATTGTGCACTTCGCTTACCAATCTTATGGAAAGGCACTTACACAGTCTCCCGAAATCTCATCAATTGTTCGTGTAGTTTTTGTACTGAAAACAGATTTCTATATTGTCACTTTTTGGCTTACTGTACACACACTAATGCTGAAGTGAACACAGAATTAATTAGTGACAAATGGTTACTGTCAAACAGCTACCTCACCAGCATTGAGATCGCTTGAGTTATCATTAACGTTGATTTACTATACTATAAGCTGGAAATTATGTTCTAAGATCACTTCACTGGTACAACAACAATATTTCCATGGGAAATGATGAATTAGAAACAAACTATAATGAATAAGCTATATAATCATTTGTGAATAATAGTGATAGTGGGATTATCGATATTTACAGTCAGATTAAAAATAAGCTACAGACATGTGATGAATTGGCACACACACGAGACTAAATATCAAATGAGGTTAGGTACTAATCCAGGTGTAAGGAAGAATCAATTTATGATGTAATCTTTTCTATCCTCCTATAGACATTTTTTCCATATATATATTATCTATGCTTATTGCATGTGATTATCATAGGGGAAAATGACTCATCAAAGTTGGAAATTTCAGGTTAATAAGTTTTCAGATCCAACTTGTCAACTAAGTCCATCTAATAATAAAATGTTTAGTTTTTAGAATAGATTTTTATCTGGATAGTGTAATAAGCTAATATAATCAGGGTAGGTTTAAGGTGAGAACAAACTGTTTTTGAATACACTAAGGGGGTTTAAATTTTCGTATGGCTAAGGTTTCAATAAACCTTATTATACGCCTTTTAACACTTTTGTACAGCACCACAAAAGCTGTGCTGAGATCAATCTTGTGACCTGTTTCAATTATATGTTTAGCAATAGAGGATGATGGATGTTTATCCTCTACTCTTATTGGGTCATTTAATTTTAATAGTAGAATTCACGAGTCTCGTAAAGCTAGACCACCTTGAAAAACCTGGAAGCACTGAACGGTCGCTTACGTACTAGTATGGGATTCCACAGCAGTGCTTATCTACGATCACGTTCGCGAAATTCCAACCCAGGACCCATCGGTCTCGCGCGCGAACGCTTAACCTCCAGACCACTAAGCCGGCATCGGATGGTGTTAATGTCTAACTTCAAGCAATTCACGAAATTACGCCACCGTCCGCCATTGCCTTCACTGAGTTACTGCCTCACAACAGACCCGGTTCAACTCCACTGGTCACGGCTTCCCACGAGAACTCCAGGAAATACCTCTTGAAGCCAGTCACTACTGAGCGAATGATGATTATTATCAGAAAGAGGTTTTATGGAGATTGTAGTAATTTAATAGTTGGATGCCGACTCAGTGGTCTAGTGGTTAAGCATTCATGTGAGAGACCGAAGGTTCTGGGTTGGAATCCCGCGAGCGGGGTCGTGGGTGTGCACTACTGAGGAGTCCCATACTAGCACGAAACGGCCGTCCAGTGCTTCTAGGTTTTCTAAGGTGGTCTAGCTTTAATCGACTCATTTGATTTTATTTATTTTCGCAGCCATTTAGGTACATATTCAGACACCCTAATTTGTAGATCATCATTACTTGTCTCTATGTATGTGTGGCCACACACATCTAAATTGATAAATACAGTGGGATGTGACGAAATTATTTTCATGTCTTCTAGCTTTTTGAAAAAAGTCTTCTTCAAAGGTACATTATTAAATTATGTGACTACATATCTTTGAACAACCTTAAATTACCTGTTCCTTTAAAAATTCCTAAAGATTTGCTACTATTATGTACTGACAAAGTCCAGTTCACATTTGAAGATGAATGCTTTAGTCCGATCGATGAGATTGCTATGGCTTGTCTGTTACAACCATTATTAGCAGATGTGTTTATGACATTTGTTGCAAATTTAGCTGAAGACCTAATCGAAAACATGTCTCTTCATAAGAGATGTGTGGATGATATCTTAGTTATCAGTGAAAGAAAGGAGAATATTAATAAACATAACACTCTTCGAAACCACACCAGTCTCTCATGTAAAAAGGAGAACAACAAGCTTCCCTTCTTAGATATACTTCTAAGTAAACGAGATGGTTCAATCAGACGATCCATTTTTTGAAAGCCAACTTTCACAGGACAACACCTTAGTGATCATAGTTACTGCCCAGTGTAATACAAACGGTGTTTGATAAGGGGCTTATTTGGATTAATTAATCGTATTTGCACAAACAATGCTATTGATGACGACGTTACGTAGTTGAAGAAAACATTAGTGGAAAATGGTTATCCTCTAAAATTCATAATTCGATGGAAAGGTCATGGTATGGTAAGACCTACCATAGCCTTGGTACAAAAAAGGCCTGTCTACAATCGCCTTACCGTTTAGAAGTGAGTCAAATATCCTTTTATTCAAAAAGGGCTTAAATAAGTTATTAACAAGACGTACTACGCAGCAAAGGTCATTATCAAAGAAAAACAAGGTCCATGCTTCACTAAAAACCTAAAAGACATGAAAATGATTTCGTCACATCCCACTGTATTTATTAATTCAGATGTATGTGGCCATATATACATATCGACAAGTAATGGTGATCTCCAAATTAGGGTGTCTGAACATGTACCTAAATGGTCGCGAAAACAAATAAAATCAAATGACCCTATAAGAGTAGTTGATAAACATAGTTTTTTTGAAAATATGCTAAACGTTTGTTATATAGAAGTATGAATTGCTGAGTTGTTCTAAATATATTCGTTCTAACGCAACTTATGGGAATAACTTAAAATGATTAAAGGCTAGTTTGGTTCATAGCCTTTTCAGAACGTGTTATATCCCTGTAAATAAAAAAGAGAAATTGACCATATAGTAACATATATTACTTATTGAACGTTAGTAGTTAAATGAATAAAGGCCAATTTGCAAATGTCATTGGTAAAGCGAGTAAGCTATGCTGTCAGTCGGTAATGCTGTTTAGTGCTAATACTGCCATTAATACTACACTATAAGGGATTTGACTAATCGAAATGGTATCAAGAGGTTTGAATGTGGTCAGATGATTTGATCTGACAATAAATTACTTATGAGTAACTTAATTTAGGCGTTTGTCTTGATTGTGGTCCTACGGAGATCCGTATGTGAATAAGTGGGAATCAAATTCAGGAACTTCCAATTTTCGTCCTGGAGATCGAAGGTCATGGTTAAGATTCTCGCGTGCGGGATTCTGAATTTGCACTGATGAGGTGTCCTATGATATTTGGTTTGTAAATTAAAAAAATTATGAATCCAGTCAATGCTATTTTAGGTTCGCAAACAGGCATACCTTGCTATTTTAATTGAGGTGGTCTTATGATCGAGTTTGTATTTCTAAGTGTACTAATAGTATAATTAACTGACTATAAATTTAAAATGAGGCGATCAAACTGGTAGTTTTGCTGACGGGACAGATATCCATAGTCTTAATAAACATATTTTGAAATAAAAATATACTAACTAACGGAATAAAAATTTATTAGGGGATCAAAACCAGTATTTTTTAATGAAGTAACTTATTAGAAAACAAATGACCAACAAAGATTAAAAGTTAAAGTAGAGAGAAAACTAGTGAGGCTCCGCTCCTTGTTTATCATATCCAGGACCATGAAGACATTAACAGACTTGAACTAGATGCACATCAATCAACAAGTTAGTTTGACTTTTAAGCTATATAGTTAGGCTATATAAATCCTTCATCCTAAAACTTATTCAGTTTTTTGCAACACGTAACAATGTCTAAATCGGCAGATCACTTTCGATTCTTTCATGCAATTTAGTTCCCTTGATAAACTTTCGTAAAACGAGAACAAACATTGAGAGATTCAGTGAATTTTATTTCATTTTGTGTCTTCTAAATCAATTTGTAGTGTCCAGCATTAAGTCAAGCCTACATGGGTTATCCCAGATTCCAAACAGACCAGTTTATTTATTTTCCAAGAGTTACACTTTGAACTTGCTGATCATTCGCTAATTAATCTTGACTGTCTATATTTGAACGTATGTATGTGTGTATTGCTTATTCTATTCATCACATTTCTGTAGCTTATTTTTGTCTGGTTATAGATATCGAATCACGCTTTACCAAATCGAGTTGGTTCACTCAGATTCTCTGCTTCGCTTCACTTTCCTGCTTTTCACTCTGAATGTCTATCCGAATAAACGAGTGCTTGAAATGATTTCATCCAACAGAAGTCGTATTTGGCTTCTTACTACCACCGTTACGCAAACAGGGATAGCCTAGGTAATATACGGAGCTAAATGGAAGTTTTATGTTTCGTAGCATACTCATAAGTCTATCAAAAATCGAGTCAGATCAACGAGTTACAAAAAGCTTTATTGAACTGTATTATTGGCTTTTCATGAGAAATTGTTAAAAATTAACTAGTTAGGATTTAGACCTGATATATGGAATCTATTCGATACTTAAAGTACGGTAATATAAAATCGGCGACCATCAAGTGGTCGATCTAGTTACATGATAATATCACAATTACATATAAATACAGAAAATATTCTTCATTATTCTTACCCAACTCAAGTCGTTCTATTGACAACAAAGGTATTCGAATGTAAGCTGGACGATTATTTCTGTTAATAAAATCTGTTCTAAAATAGGAATGAAATGGTAAGATTGTACATGAGAAACAATTTTGTTAAAAAATGGAATTTGGTAACTGATAGAGTTATCTAGGCTGATGGTAATCAACTAAAAGAATTCAAGAGATTAGCTTTATGAAAATTTTTTTTTAACTTATGCATTAATTTCAATTATATTGTAAAAAAAAACAATATGCAGGAGGAATGTATGTTTATTGCGAGAAGCTACAAAGTATTTACATAATACATATACATAGCCTTCAATCGTCTAATTGTATCTTTCAGTGTTTTCTGCCATCTAAACTGTCTCCGAGTGTTCTGGCAACGCCGTGCTTTCGATGCACTAACACTCTTCACTCCGCCTAACAATTGTTGCAACTTTGACGCCGTGTTCCACTATAACACTACTTACAAACAGTTTTGTGAGTAGAGTCCAATACAATATTTTAATGCAATCCATTAAGTGTAGTTTAAAACTAAATTTTTACATTTTCAGTATCGGGTTGTGGAGATTGTTAAATTTGGTTAAAATCATGAAATGATTCAAGTTAGATCACTATTGGAAATATGGAAGGACTGGACGAGGATTTTTTCTCAGTATGGGACTCTTCAACGGTACGCATCACTCACGAGATCGGAGGTAATGCATTCAATTTTCGCGTGCGGAAGCATGGATATGCATACTAGGACGAAACGACGATCCAACAAATCTATGTTTTCAATAGCGGTTTAACTTAGACTGATTCATGATTTCAAATTATTTTTGAAATTGGAAATTGTAAAGAAACAACTTAGTTTCAATATGCGGTTTTATTTGTTTGTTTCAGCAGGTCTATGAGATAATTCTTACAACCGAAGGCTATTTAAACTATATTTTGTCAAATATATGATAAACTCAGTGAATATAAATAATAGTTTCAGAAAACGTGTCCTCAACACTTAACGTAGTTTCTTGAAAACGTGTGTGTATTTTGAATACTGATTAGAAATTATTGATTTATTGAGTATCACCGTATATTTTCCCTTACCCCGTCAAATATGAACTTTCAACTTCATTCTTCTGACATATTAGTAAATAACTAAGATGTAATTAGTTTAGATTTAGGAAGAACAGAAGGCTAGTAAGTTCATGTTAATCCTAAAGGTGGAGGTTTCTCAAGCGATTCAACTTTCTTTTGAATAGGTCTATAGAAATAACTATAATTAACTGCACGTGTTGATTCTTCAGTGGATAAGGTCGGTAGTTAACTTGCAAATAATTGGATTCGTGAACACACGTGAAATTTAACATTGTCTAAAGAAATTATCAAAAATATAAACTATTCTGTCAGAAATTTCAACAAAAAAGTGAAATAGTGAAGACTCAATATAATCCAAGATTTACCTTATGAAGTGTATATATTTATCGGTTATTAGAACAACCGTATTCACATAAGCCATACCACGAATAAATCTGTACGGAATAAAGGAAGAAAGGACAAGGAAATCATAGAAGTGAATTTCATTAAACTCTCTACCAGTTGTATTCATCTTGTTAATAATTACGTTGATATGTGTCATGAATTGGAAATAGTACCATAGTTTTATTCAAAGATAGACTGGTTCGTATATTACTTTAAAGAATTTTTAAGGCATATGTAGAGAATATAACAAAGATTTCATTGCATACACCAAGGCTTCGAACTAATATATATATATATATATATATCGGTTACGATCAACAGACTGATGACTTCAGTCATAAACTTTTATGGATGATTTCCATCATAGGATAACAACTTTCGAATTAAGAATCAGTGGTTATTGGACAGTTGGTTTGTATGCCTATCACCGTTATGAAATATTCAAACTTGAGATATTCCAGTTTTCGGTAGTAAGGTAGTATAGGGACAAGTCAATCAGAATCGAGAAAACGACTTTTAGGTTTTCGAGCAAAATCCAGAATCAACATCAAGTGAGTAGTGAAGATACCTTTGTAAAGAGCTCAGAAGGTTTAAAATGAGAATGAAAAGTTACTTTGTGTCATCGTAGAGTACAAACGATAGTGTTAAACGTGTTAAATACTCGATTCTTACTATTATAGACTTCATATAACAGGCAAATTGATAATTTCTCCAAACCCTAATATAAACCATAACTTGGTGGGTATATACTTTATAACGAATAATTAGATTTAAGATAGTGGCTGATGAATTTTCGACAGAAAGTTGTTCATTCATACAGCTACAAAGCATTTTTGAATGCTAGCTGATGTCGATTCGTGATGAAAACACTAATGTTAAACCTCTAGTCCTATCCTTAAATACTTAACCCTAACTAAAGACAGTTTAAAGACTCCTATGAGTATTTTTGGGTCCCCATAAGGGTTCGCAAAGATGGGTAATCTATATCTGTATAGACAAATCTATATGTCATTGCTTTTTGTTATTTGGAGGTAAAGTAGCCTGTAGAAGACCTTAATAGATTAATCAAGTAATCAAGCAACATCACGTTGTTTACTCATCCGTAAACTATCCACTTAAAAAAGGTATTTTGAAATCGGATACGAACTGGTTGAAAACTCTTCACGGTTATTTCATTCACATCTCTATACCACACTTATCAAGTTTTCTATTACGTTCCGCACCATTTCAACCCACTGAGCTAGAATCGAAAATTGATTTATATACTTTCAACATTAATAATCAATTTAAAACGAAGTGTAATGTTTATCCATTATATCATCAGTTACTAATTACTACATTATTAACTTGGACTGATAATAATGAATTTACTAATAGCTAGAAGGAAATGATCTGAAATACATAAAAAGGTAAATTGTAACTATCACATGTTAATACCTCAATTATTAAATAGTTTTGACATTTTGTTCCTTTTCAGCATAATTTAGACAAGATGATGCACTCAGTTTTGGTTTAAAAGAGTTTTAAGAGTACATATACATACATATATGCACCAAATTAATGTTAGTGTGACTTAGGATATTCAACATGTTGGGTAATTGAAGTAGTGGTTGGAGGTTCCCAACAGGAAACACTGGACATTGATTTTGAGGTATTTAGTACTAGTCAGTAATGTGTACCTTTAATCTTGAGAGAGCTGATTCTCCCTAGTAGATTCAATCATGTGTCGTCCAGCTTCTCAGTCAGAGACATTACCACTGAGCTATTCAGGCCACGACTGACACCCAATAGGACTAGGATAGATTTTGATCTACAGAACTTGGTCATCAACAAGAACGTAACATAGATGACATTGGTCACTACCTAGTGATCAATCAATTGTAAATGTCAGGTAAGTGCTTGAAATACAATAGGATTAATTTGAACTAGATTCTGGACGTCGACAACCTACTACTTTAAAATATATTTTCAAAATTTTACCATACACTAGGATGTTTTTACCAATTGTAATATATATTTTTATATATCACATAATCAAATCAATTTAAAACGAGCTACTTTTTACCGAGAAATCGGCAACCTGTATGAGATACCCCCTTAACATTAGAATGAAAAACAGTAACAGTTTAGTGATATATACGGTAAGAAATTGTACCGATTATGAAAATACTGATATGATTAACTTTTTCACGTGTATCAGAAAATGAAATTTTTAATATATCAAAATTAAATTGAATTTAGTCAATTCCCTTGTTGATTATTTCTAGTAAAACAAAATGGAAATTTAATATGATCAGGTGATTTAGACTTGGTGCTGACAAGTCTTGTTTTAATGGTGAAAATAATAATAATAATAATAATAATAATAATAATAATAGTAATAATAATAATAAGTCCTAGAATCAAAGATGCGGGTTTCGTTTTATTTCAAATTCATCCGTTGGAAAAACCTAAATTACCACGTTGATTTTGACACTGAGACTAACAGAATAGTCATAAATTTAAACGCCGCCATGTTAGCCATTGGGTCAACAAGTTGAGCTATAGAACAAGTTCGTGACGGTCGTGACTCAATAGCTTGGTGAATAATGTGTTGGTAATTCATGAGATTGGTAGTAGGTCGAGTATTAGTGTAAATATTAACACTGGGATGCAGGCTGCTTCAAGTGATAAGTTCAAATAGTAAAAAAAACCCAACATCCTGAATTCTACTAATAGCCATTATTTAAAAATACATAACACATCATTTACTACTAAATTAACCGTTACAAAACTTGAAATTACAGTTTAGATTACGAAAAAGTAGTTTTAATTAGTTATTCACTTTTTTTATAAAAATAAAGCATTTTACTTTAAAAGTTTCAACTATATTGAATAGCATATGAGAAAAGTAATTATCGTCAACTGATAAATTCTAACTAATCAATAAAGGAAGAGTGGTCTGGCACTTCTATCCCATACACACGAACAAATGTAGATGAAGACAACTAGTGTATCAACAGCCTCTGCATCAGTAGACCTCAAAATACACATAGGAAAAAGCAAAATCATCAAATACAACACGGAGAACACCAACCCAACCACAGTTGATGGAGAAACTCTGGAAGATGTATCTGAGAAGCATCATTGATGAACAAGGAGGATCCGATACAGACGTAAAGGTAAGGATCGGCAAAACGTGGGCTACATTCCTACAGTTGAAGAACATATGCATCTCAAGACAACTGTCTGCAAGCCAACAGCAAAGTCAGAATCTTCTATCAACGTAAAGACAATTCTACTGCATAAAGCTGAACCTTGAAGAACTACTACAACCATCATCAAAAAGGTACGAGTATTTTTAAACAGTTGTCTACGTAAGATACTCAATGTCCGTTGGCCGGATATCATCAGCAACAACTTGCTGTGGGAGAGAATAAACCAGCTTCTACCTGAAGAGGAAATTAGAAAGAGACGTTGGAAGTGAATAAGACATACATTACGAAAATCACCAAATTGCATCACGAGACAAGCACTAACTTGGTATCCTTAAGGGAAACAGAAAAAAGGAAGGCCAAAGAACACACTGAGTCGGGAATTGGAAGCAGACATGAAAAGAATGAATAGCAACTGGAAAGGATTGCTCAGGACAGAGTTGGATGGAGAGTGCTGGTAGGCAGCATATGCTCCTCCACAATTGGTAACGGGCGTAAGTAAGTAATAAAGAAAGAGAAGAACACCTACCGAAAGAATTCTCAATTTTCTATATATCTTAGACTTAATTAAATCTGTTTTACAGGTTGGAAAAAACACATTATTTAGAACATACAATTTGACAAGCGATTGTTAAATGCGTAGAAATATGACAGAACAGACTATCTGGTTTTATTGTAATATACTGTTTGTGAAATGAGTGACCTTCCGTGAAAGGTGTCAAAGCTAAATGTATAAAACTCAAGAATGAATAATAAAGTCTAATCATTATTCATATTTTTTATTGTCAACTTGTTAAATGTAAACAAATTGTTGTAAAGCAACAAAATCAATATTAGAAAATTTGGTGCTTACAATTTGTAATCGTTATTATTTGGTAAACAATTGGAAGAGAGAAGGAAGCAGTAGAGAATGTTGAAAACGTAGAATAAATCATGATATCGGTATGAATTGAAGAGGTTATTTATATATTTTAATGCTTTGTTCACCGTTTTCTATATTTTTTCAAAATAATAAAACCCAGTATTAATATCCGTTGGGATAACAATTGAACAAACGTTCATTCGTCGATATTACAGTTAAGTAGTATTGATGAATTTTGAAAAACAAGACTTAGAAACACACGTACACACATACACAAGCAAAGAGATAGAGAGAACTCCAACAACTATCACTTCTTACTAGTGAAGTTAATTTTACAACTGATTTAATTACATGAAGTAAAGAAATATATGTGCGAGTGCTAATCGGTGAATGGTGATTTGAAATCATTAGGACTACAGGAAAAGTACCATCGTAAAAATATAACGGGACTTTAAAAACAAACGATAACATGGACTATTCAATGATCAGTGTCTATGAAAATGCACATGAGACGAAATATTTATTGCGTAGATTAGAATTAACCATACAGTTTGATGTGTGATTTTAGTTGATATGATAATAAGCTTGGGGAATTTCCTATGTGAAATGATTGCGGATGGTCAGATGTCTTTCTCACCTGACAGAAAAATCACTATTTTGATTTGTTAATTCATTTAATATAACTTTGAATTAGTGTTTATCCCGCCACACTGTGTCTTTCGTTTTTATTAAATTGAAAAAAAAACCATTTTTTAGAATCAATCTACTGATGTTTTTATATACACCCCTTTATCAGTGTTCATTAGAGGATTGCAAACAAATGCAAATGAAACAATTGGTAAGACTCTAATTTATGGACAAGCCAATCAGAAGCGTTTGAGGAATTTCAAGGTCACGGCGCTAAGTTCAATACGAGACGCTCACATTCGGTCGTTTTACAGCAGATTTTAAAGAAGAGGTGATTTTTGAGCGACTACAACAGATGGGACTATTA